CCCCCCCCCCACCTTATCACCTGAATCTCCTCCTAGAGCACCATTGTGTTCTTTTTAACCAAATATCTCTAGAGGGGTGTGGGGAGGGGCTCCTTATTTTCATCTAAAGTAACAGACAGAGAATCAGCACTTTGGAAACAGGGCTGAAACAGAGGGGATTATGCCTTGAGACCTCAAAAATCGGGAGAATTTCAAAACCACAGACTTTCAGTTGTGCACGCTACTAAAGAGACGCGCTACCATGGAAACCAAACAATGGTGTAGCTGTATTAAAGTCAGAGTGGAAACAGTCGTGAGTAAATCTGATTTTGTCAGAAATCGGGAGTCTCCCGTGAAAACCGGGAGGGTTGGCTGCAATGATCTGTTTGGTATTTCGAGCCAAACACTTCAGAGACATGTTTTGCGTATATATGAGACCTATAATATATTGAAGAAAAACTGTATAATAGGGGACCTTTACATTAATTTGTCCTGGTTTAAAGGTAAACATTTTTTACAGAGTATTGTTTTAATCTCACAGGAAGAAATGCATCATGGGTCAGTACCTGTCCTTCTCATCGTCGATGGGCATGTAGCTGGACTTGTAACAGTCGATGCGCCGGCTGAAGTCTTTCATCGCCTCGTCTTCGTCACGATCCACGTAATCTGGACTCCCCAGTTTCACTTGCTGAAAAGAAAAGACCGTTTTGAATTGTAATTGTGAAAACTACATCCCTACAGTATCTGCAAACATTTAGAATAAAAAAGAAAAACATTATCATCGACTGACCTTAATATTCTCTGCAATGATTTCCGGGTCATCGCAGATTGATTCCACAAAGAACACCTGAATACAGGAAGTCATTCAAAAGTTACATTCATGAAATAAAACATATATTTTCTTTTTTCCCATTGTGACCATGTGTTTGTGTATTTGATTCTTCTTCCTAAGGTATAGTATTACATTTGAGAAGCTATTCCCCCAGTCTTTGTGCTAAACTAAGAGAACAACCTGCTAGCTCTAGCTTCAAATTAAACAGAAAGATTGAGTTAACAATCTTTTCATGCATCTCTTGGCAAGAAACAGAATAAGCACATTTCCCCCCAAATGTCACATGCATGTTTAAACTCACTTTGTAGCCCCTCTCTTTCGCATAACTCAGGATGTCTGCCCTCCGCTCTCTAGTGGTGTTGGTGGCATCAAATACCTGGAGAAAAACACCAAGGTGTGGAGTGCACTTTTTATCTCAGGGATAACTGACTGCATAAGTCATGAGTAAGACATACATACAAAATGAATTATTCATTATGTTTAATTGTATTAAGAGGGACAGTTTCAGTTTTACTCACGGCAGCTTGTCCCTGTTCCTTTGAAAAGTACGCAGCAACATCTTTGAGAGCGGCTGATGCACAGGCCCTAAAAGAGAGGAGAAACTCTGATGGGCAACGGAGCAAAAACTGCAACAATATGGGAGGATAATGAAGGTGGCAAGAATAATGACAGATGTAGACAAATCAGAACATATAAAACTTCATTATAAACATCTGTTTTTACATCAACCGTCCTTCTTACTTGCGTATCTTCATGGCCTCCTCATTTTCGGGATTAAAGAACTCAAAGTCCTTGTAGATTTTCACAGCCTCCCTCCGGTACTGGCCCACGTTAAATGCTAGTTAAATAATGGAAACAGAGATTAGAAAAAAAAACATATTCCTTTTTAGGGCAAGAAAAACTTATGTTGAATGTTTGATGATCCAATCAACTTTAAACATGAAACACTTCTTGTCTAATTCACAGATTTCAACAGGATTCACTTTCACTGACATTTTGTGGGCACTCCGATCCAGTTCAGGTAGCGAGTTAGCTTCTTGGAGATGTACGTCTTCCCTCTGGCTGGCAGCCCCACCATCACAATCATCGTGGGAGAGTTGCAGAACTGAGGCACCGAGGCTGATGGAAGACAAATGCATTAACATGTAGCTCAATGAATGCTGCTAAAAATGTAAGCATTACTGTGACACATCATTCAGCATAAGAGCATCAGCCTTGTGTTAAATTGGTTTAGTCATTACGCAGTTGTTGAATGCTTGTCCGTCTCAAAAACTGCATTATAAAGGCAGACTGCAGGGTTGCACAAAGTACCCGGATGGTCCAGTGTGTGACTATACAGAACAGGGAGAGCCTCCAGGCCGTGGGATTATGAATGGAGTACACTGTGTCAGGAAAATGCTCAAAAGGCCCACGTCAGACAGTGAACAGAGAGGCCTGGCTGTCATCCCATGACTGAGTCTACTGTCTGTCTCTCTGTCTACCTGCAGCCCTCACAGGAGCTTCAACATGAAGGGTTCAGCACATTGAAACATACCAATGACTGCTGGAAGTGTTAGAAAATAAACACTTAAACAGACATGAGTTATTAGAAAAAGAACAAACAGCAGCAACACAAAATAGATGCTTCTTCTTCTTCTTTTCAAGCTTCACTTACATCCTCTCCTGCGGTTCAAGTTGCAGCCAACCCATGGCACCCAGATCTTAAGCAGAGGAGTCTGTGTGAGTTTTCTCTGCTCTCTGTTCACGCTGAGAGACATGATTGAGCGTGAGCGATGGACAGCGCACGCTCTGTGATCTTTGTGTGCTTCACTGAACTCTACCTACTGCAGGTCAGCTGACTGTTGCCAAGGAGAAGCACTCGGTGGAAGGGGGAGGACCTGAAGTCATGCTGCTCGCCTGTCTCTCAGTCTGTTTTATGATTCCTAAGGACTTAAGGGAGCTGATAAACTGTCTGCAGTGATGTCAGAGAGCAGAGAAGAATTTATATCCACCGTCCTGTTGTGGTGACACGGCTTCAAACAGTCCTGTGAGGCGAGTATTACAAAGTGAGGGTCCTCTCATGAATTCAAATGAGCATAGTGGCTACTGCACAAGCTGTTTGTTTACCTAACTGTGGAGTGGAGATGGGGGAGTCTCCTTTTTTACCACTAGAGGGCAGTTTATACCTTAAATCTGGCACAATCTAAGAGGTTACAGTGGGTAAGGGTCATATCAATAATATGCAATTATATGAGCAACAGTTGTTCATGTTTTTTTCCAAAAACATATTCAAATGTTGTGTTTTTCACCGAAATAAAGCAGTAATAATAGCAATGAGGAGTGGGTTAACATTGTTAAACCACAGTGGATGATGCTTCAGTGAGATTAACTTTAAATGTATTCAACCCTATTGTCTTCGTTTCCCCCCCTTACTTTGGTGTTCACTGTCAAATTTGACCAACCCTCTTTGAACTGCTATATTACATTAACACAAAAACCATTAATCATCACCAAATTTCATTTAAAACCCTTTCAAACTGTAAATATTATATCAGCCTACTGGTATACATGAACAACTGAAGTAAATATACAACGAATAGACACTGAACATGTATTGCGTGTGCTATGTTTGATCCATGTGGGGGGATGGGCACATAAAAGCGGGAAATGTATCAAATTGTTCTGTGTGTGTTTGTGTGTGCCACTGCCAGGTGTTATTCACATGGGGGGATGGGCACATAAGGGGGGGGGGGAACCGCAGTGATGCGTCCTAAAACCCGGAAGTAAGTTAGCATTTTTACCACGTCCGGTTCCTTCGACAAAAAGCAATGCAATTTCTCCATAGGATTTTGGAAAATAGCTCGAAATAAGGTCTGTGTTTGACACAAATTGAAGAGACTAACAGATCACGTTTTGTTCTACGATATTAAATACATCAGCAGTGATGTATGAAGAGTTTACGTGTCTGAAAAACGATGGTTGTTAACATGTGGCTAAATAGGACTACAGAAGTTGTCCAGGCCGTTTTACGTCATTAAACCGAACACGTAAACACTCCCGCTTAGTTTGTTTCCCCCCGTGTTCTGCTTGAAAGCAAGTACCTGCCTCCTGCAAACTGTTCAAACAAACGCTGCCTCCCAACAACTGTTGTGCAATGAAATATTGGGCCACTAGTCATCTCGAACCGTCAGTTTAAAAAAGAAGGTGCGATACCGTTCCGATAAATATCAATAATTTCGAACATCGCGGGGAAATTCCTTCGACTCATTTTGAAGTTTTGGGGGAAGCTGGAAGTGACGTCAATGCGGCAACGCTTCACTGTGCGGCGAGAGAGCCAAACAAGGACAAAGTGTGTTGTCATGCGTAGACATTTTGAATTACTGAGTTTAGGCACGTTAATAACGTTTTAATGAAGTTGACTACAGTATATTCATATTTGTCAGTGCTTTCCTGTCAATTCAACACACTCTCACTCCATAATCGTCCAGGAGCGACATTTGGTCAGGGTCCCGTGGCGTGCAGTTGTGACGCTCCTAGGCTCCTTCCGCTTCACAAATAGCTTTCAACTGATTGCAATGTATTCCCATCTGCGGCGGGATTTGACGCTCATGGAAGCACGGCATTCGTTTGTGTCGGCTGCCCTTAAAGGCAATGTGAGCGTCCATTCCCATTGGATAATGGAGAATTGTACACCCGTTGGGGAAATTAATGGCTAAAATGCACGGATTATTATTATTATTATTATTATTCCCACTCCGATCGGGACACTAGGTCCACCGTTTCCCCGCAGCGAGGCTCCCCCATTGACAGTGTACGTGGGCTGGGCTTGGTGCAGTACCGAAGTGGGCCGGTCGGATAAGTCACTAGCACATCCCCCACTCCCCCCGTTGACAATTTACTAGCGGTACCGAAGTGGGCCGGTCGAGAGTCCCTGGATGATTTTTAGTCCCAGTCCACCACTGGCTACATGACTGTATGATCGCCCATATTGACGCACCTAATTCCTAAACTTCTAACAGANGTGACGCCAGAGCTGCCGCCGATCGGGCCGAATCCATCGAGAAGTACGAGGCGGTGATGGAGGATTACAGGAGGATGATGAACGAGCAGGTGATTGGGATCCAATCACCTGCTCGTTCATCATCCTCCTGTAATCCTCCATCACCGCCTCGTACTTCTCGATGGATTCGGCCCGATCGGCGGCAGCTCTGGCGTCACTTTGCACTCTGATCACGTGACCCATCCCCCAGGAGGGAGGAGGGAAGACCAGGGACTTCAGAAGGAGCTTCACCGCCTCCTCCACGAACGAGTACACCTCAAAAGAGTCAAGGTCAACTTCATTGTCAATCTTTCAGTTTGTGTGTACAGACAGAGAGATCGACATACCGTTTCCAAATACAAAAATACAAATATCCTATATACACAATCAACAGACACATGTATAAGCACACATTACCAAACAGATCATTGCAGCATTACCCATAATCCCCTCTGTTTCAGCCCTGTTTCCAAAGTGCTGATGCTCTGTCTGTTACTTTAGATGAAAATAAGGAGCCCCTCCCCACACCCCTCTAGAGATATTTGGTTAAAAAGAACACAATGGTGCTCTAGGAGGAGATTCAGGTGATAAGGGTGGGGGGGGGGGGGGGGGGGGGGTTACCTTGGTTGGTGATTGGCTAATGGTTACACAAGCCAAAAAAATCGTTATGACATCATAAAGTGGCCAAAATCTGATCAGCTCATTTTCAGACAGGTTTTTATAGAAATGAAGACAAAAAGTGAGAGAATATTTTTTCCTGAAACTTTCAGAATCTCTTTACACAGAGGGGACACATGTTGATGAATACAAGACATGAAAAAGTGGATTTTGCATAATAGGTGACCTTTAATAGTTTGTTTTCCCCAATGCTGACTTAAAACAGGAAGCTGTCCTACATCAAGATCTTCAACGTGGGCAGCCGGTACCTGGTGAACCGGGTCCAGGACCACATCCAGAGCCGCATCGTGTATTACCTCATGAACATCCACGTCACCCCGAGGTCCATCTACCTGAGCCGCCACGGAGAGAGCGAGCTCAACCTATCAGGTCGCATCGGGGGGGACTCCGGCCTCTCCCCTAGAGGACACAAGGTGAGGAGATTACACGACATTCAAGATTTCATTAAAGGTTTTAATGTCATATGCACATAAGCTACATTGTAGAAATGGCAATGACATTATTCTGACCTGAGCTCCTCCAACAATCCAACATATATAATAAAATACAAAAATACAAAATAAAAAGTAGGTGGATGACTGAATTCATTTGAAGCAGTACAAATGCACAAATGCTCCTTTTTAAATGTTACTTAAATGTCCCCTATTATGCAAAATGCGGTTTTTAATGTCTTTGATACAGATATATGTTTCCCCTGTGACTCAGAAAGCTCTATAAAAGCAAGATTTTACTGTTGTATTTGATTAAGATGGAGCTGATCAGACCAAAACTAAATATTATTTTTGTTGTGAAATAATTGCTTAATATTTCCTCCATTCATTTATGAATTGCTTGGCTGGAGTTTAGGATCTCAAAAGCTCAAACATCTAATTCATTACAAATACATTTTTTTTTAAAGAAGTAAATAAACAGCAAATCATGTTAAAGTTTAATCCTTTCTTGCAAACTGTATAATAACATGTTTATATTCCACTTATTGTTTCCAGTATGCGAAGGGTTTGGCGACCTTCATCAGAGGTCAGGACATCACGGAGCTGAAGGTGTGGACGAGTCACATGAAGAGGACCATCCAGACCGCCGAGGCTCTGGGGGTCCCGTACGAGCAGTGGAAGGCTCTCAATGAGATAGACGCTGTGAGTTCATTCATAATAAATTATTAGGCTTCATTTTATGTTTTTCAAATGTGTGCAGTCATGGTTGAATGAATTAGCTCTTCAAATCATTACGTTGACTTTCGAGCTCTAAAGCCAGCCTTTTTAAAGAGGTCCTATTACTGTATGCTTTTTGGGGTTCTCCCTTTTCTGTTTTGTGGTAGTTTTGCATGTAGATGGTCTGCAAAGGCTATTATCCCACACATTCTCTCCCACACACTCCCCCCCTGCCTGAAACACCTCCATTGGACTCCTTTGTTTACTTCTGTAACATAGTGACATCACCTTGTAACACTCGCGCTTCTAACACATTGTACCTGATAGGCTAAAGGGTGGGACATCTCTAAATAAGGGGTGGACCAATCACAACAGAGCCGGCCAGCTAACCAATGGTTATTTTCATGTGTTTCTCACAAAGGGTGTGTGTGAGGAGTTAACCTACGAAGAGATTCAGGAGAATTTACCAGAAGAGTTTGCTCTGAGAGACCAGGACAAGTATCGTTATCGTTACCCAAAGGGGGAGGTAAGTGCTCCGATGAATATACTAGAGACTTGTTTCATTAAACCATTATAGTATCAGGGAGCTGCACATTTTGCTGTCCATTCAACCACAGTCCGACCTGTTCTGTGAGCAGCTCTACTGATGCAATTTGGTGTTCAAGACAATATTTCAACATTTTGGGAAAATAAGCTTTTTTCTATCGTAGAATCGCGTGCAGAAATGGGGCCGAAATCAAACCCTGTGCCGGTATTGGACATGCGCTGTAACTATTCGGCTAAATTTGATAAATGTATATCCTGCTGAGTAGATTGACACCATCAGGCCCGCCCCTCCCTACACGCAGATCACGCAGACTGCGTGGGGCCCCATCTTGCGGAGGGAGTCTCATCTGATGCGCAAATGCGGCGCAATCAAGCGCGCCACAGTTTCGCCGCTGCGAGGCTCCGGTGCTCGCAGTTCACACGCGTGCTCCCCCAATCCCCCCCGGTCGATGCTCGCGACACAGGGCCTCATCACATAACTTTGCGTGGGGCCACAAGTTGGCCAGGGGCAGCCTGTACACCATAAGGAATATATTTTAAACAATTGTTGTTAATTTGAATCTGCAAAGTTTCTTGTAATTGAAGTTATCAAGTAGGCTACATTAACTATAACAAAAAGTACAATATTGGTAGTGTAGTATGAAGCAGCATAAAATGTAAATCCTGTCGTACAGTACTTGAGCAAGTATACTCAGTAACTTTACATACCTGCAAACAAGATAAAACATGGTTGTTTATGTAAATCCTTTCGTACAGTACTTGAGCAAGTATACTCAGTAACTTTACATACCTGCAAACAAGATAAAATATGGTCGTTAGTGAGATTTAACAGAGAACTTCGCCTTGCTGAATCGGTTCTTTTCCCACCCAGACGTCTCCTTCCAGACACGATCATCATAAGAGAGTCTGAGTAGAGTCAGGTCGGGTCAGTTCATAGCGTGCCCACATCAAGTGGACTGAGAGGCTATGATAGAATGAGTCTTTTTGAATTATTGATAAACTCTTTAATAATGTTGTCCTCTTTTCCAGTCCTATGAGGACCTCGTCCATCGTCTGGAGCCGGTGATCATGGAGCTGGAAAGGCAGGAAAATGTTCTGGTGATCTGCCACCAAGCTGTGTTTCGCTGCCTGCTGGCCTACTTTGTAAACAAACCTGCAGGTACACAAATCAAGGCCTCAAAAAAGAATCTGACACAGAAGTACGACTGCTACCTATTTAATTTAAAACTGCACGGCTCTTCCACTTTAAATTATGATTAACTGCACATAATTATTTCATTTTTTATAAATATTTTTTATATAAATATTTCTTGTTAAAACATTTTTTTATTGTTTTCAAAACAGTTATATATTTGCTCCTTTTTACAATTGTTTTCCTCTTACTTTGTTTATCATTCCACAATGATACACCAAAGCAAATTCCTTTTAAGAGAGAAACCTGATTCTGATTATTATGATTTCTTTCCTCTGAAGCTGAGCTGCCTTATCTCAGATGCCCTCTTCACACTGTGCTCAAGCTCACACCGATAGCTTACGGTACGTGGTAAATCCTGGAGTGTGTGACATTTCCATATCTCAGTCAACTTCTCCCTAACAGTCTCACTTTCTCTCCTAATTTCAGGCTGTAAAGTTGAGTCAATTTTCCTCAACATTGAAGCAGTCAACACTCACAGAGAGAGGCCAGTGGTAAGTTTCCACAAGCACACCATTTTTATAATAGCATGCAGATCTGTCATAATAGATACTTAGCTTTGCCAACTATTGGTCTGCGGTACATTACATACGTCTGATGGCAGGCATTAATGTTAGGTCATTTGTATGTGTCGATGAAATATATATTTATACTACGAGTGGGGAGTGAACAGAAATGTCGCTGAACAGCTTTTGTTTTTTCATATTAGGATGATTTGAAACAAAAAATATAGGCTTAAAAGTGTGAATATGTAACTTTTGTGAAAAGAGGTATCAAGATCTTCCTCATAAAAAGTTATTTCATAAGCAAAAAGGTGCAATGATGATCAATTCCACACATTATTTGTTGTTGCTCCCAAAACTTCACTTGTGTTCTCTAATGTTTGCATAATAGACGGTGTGGGATTGACAGCAGTTTCTTACTTGTTGCCCCTTGTCTATTTGTGCTACTCTTACTTTACATTTCAACATGTTACAAATTGTCGTGCGGATTTCTTTCAACTATATAGAGAAAAAACAAATGTATGTCATTTTATCCATTTGCCAATTGTGGCCAAAGTGGTCACTGTTGTACAGAATTCCTACAGAATAAACAGCTAGAGGAATTATATAATATAATCAGATCCTGTTTTCATAGTAAAATAGTAAAATAAATATGTATTCAGAAAGACTGCAAGTTAAACTTAAAGTTAAAGGCAAATTGTTTTAAGATTGATTATTTATCTTGAGATGTCTCACAACCACAATTTATTTTATTCCTTTGGTTTATTTGACAGGGACAATATGATGTACATCTTTATGTAGGTTACATTTAAATAAGGGTTGGAGTACTGTATATATTCTTAAACACACCACATACAGAAAACATTTCTAACTGAATGGGTCGTTCGGGTTTGGGTTTTTAATGGACTCAGTATTTGTGTTTCTTTTGCAGAATGTCGACATCAACAGAAACCCTGAGGAGGCTCTGCAGACCGTACCTGACCACATATAAATACTGTGTTGTGAGAAAAAGACACAGATGAAACGGGACGTGTTGCTACATATTAGCTTCACTAAATATAAGAGATGCACTCCGGAGAAAGGGTAGGCTTTAAAGCAGAGTAGAAATGGGGCTAAATCTTCACTCCTGCTGCACCGACTCAACAGGATATTCTGTTTGAAGCGTGACTGTGAAACCTTCATGTGTCTTATCTGACTGGAGTTCTTTTTAAAAAGTGTTTCCCAATGTTTACCAAATAAGATTAAATTAATCATACTAATGCACTATGTTTTAACACTTAGAGAAAAACATTTAAAAACATGTGTAAAAGTTGTAACACGTGTAACCATTGCACGGATTATGTGTTGTTGATAATCTAATTATAAAGGTGGGTCAGCCTCGTGGACAGCACCCACACAAACAAAACATGTTGTTGTTGATTCTGGCACTTGACTTGAAAGTTAGGTAGTGGATAAGACGACAAGATTCAAAGCTTCATTGTCATGAGTATCTTCAGTTTTGGCAATGAAAATAGTCCAGGGTTCCTTCAAAAGTAAACAAAGAAGACATTACACGGTGCATTATGTAATGTTTTAAATAGGGCTGCACCATATTCTGCTTTTTCTGATTTTCACTTTACTGTAGTGCATTATTTAGGTTTGTGTGCAGGTCTGCAAAGGCTTAAATCCCAAAGTTCCCTCCAGAGGGAGTTCTATTGGCTAGCGCTCCAACACATACGTGATAGGCTAAGGGTCGAGAGATCTCTAAGTGGTTGACCAATCACAACAGAGCTAACCAATCAGAGCAGACTGGTCTCTGGTTTCAGACGGAGGGTGAAGAGAGGTGCTGCAGCACAGGCAGTATGAGAAAAATAAAGACCTTTTTGAACATTTAAGCATGGAAACATGTCCCAGTAGTGGCACAAAATACTAAAAATAAACTAAGACTTGTCTTTAAGTTGTTTTTCAGAAACTAAATCCACTTTACGAGTCCTGTTGGTGTTGGTTTGGCAGCTCTCTTATGTTTTTAATCCTCCCACAGAGAAGCCAAAACTACATTTAACAAACTTATTTCACAACAGACCAATGAACTGTTCCACTCGGCAGATAATGGGTCTTTGTGAACGCGCTCTGGGGGAGTAGGAAACTCACATTTGGGACTAATTTAAGGAATAAAACTCAGACTGGAGCATTTGAACTCAGAGAGAAGGAGGAGGGGGAGGTGTTTTGGTAGTGGGGTAATTTCCCAAAATAGCAGAGCAGGGGTTAATAATCCCTCATTTCTGGTGCACCTCAGTGGCAGCAGGACGTGAAACTTCAAGTATGCACACACTCAAGCTGGGAGCTGCACTCCTCACACACAGCGGGACAACTTTCTGACTGAACTTCACACCTTTTTGGAGATTTTCTTTTCCCTTTTTTCTGCACACGTGACGGATGTTTATCAGAACATATTTCATCTATCACTGCAGAGGAGCCGTTCAAAATAATCCGAGGTGAGGGAGGGGAGAGAGACTGCCCCTTGCAGAAAATAACTTTCTGTGTAAAATGTGAGGTATGTGCACAGCGTCCTGCTGCACACGCTGCCTCAGTCCCGCGGACACCGTGAGTTCACTGCATCTTGGAGGACTGGAACCTGATTTATTCTGGACATGATGAATTTAAGGATTTCCTGCATGCTGGTGTTCTTCACTCTGTATCTGCAAGAGGGATTATCAAGGGAATATGAAGCTAAGCTTGGAGCAGATGTTCTTTTACAGGTACATTTTTCTATTTTCCTCTCCTTAATTAACTTTTTTCCTGTCAGTTTTGTGTCAAAAGTTGTTAATGGCTTCTTTCTGAAACACACTCTTCTGTTAAACCAGGTTGAATGAAGACAGGAGGAAAGTATAGCAATAATATAGAACTTTATTTTGTATTTAAAAAAAATCGCTGTAGTCTAATAATTGCCAGGATATTATTTAAACTATTGGTGACTACTAAAGTGAGTATTTCAGCTCTAATACAGCCAGAACAAACTCAAGATATACAACTCCTATTTTTTGTATATTAACTATATGATTTCTATGTTTCCCCATAAAGGGGTTCCACTCTTTACATTACTTGTTTATGTTAAAGTCCAAGCGATGTCCAGGCTATGTGGTAATGTATTGACACAGCAATGACTTGTGTGCAGAATTAGCCTCTGAGAGCGCACCGTGCAGCCCTCGCTGGCCTGTGTACAGTGAATGCATTTATTTCCAGTTCCACTTCCCCTCCATTCATGAATGGCTTTGATTCAGAGTATTTTGACACAAAATCTTGACCCAACCCAGGAAGAGTGTGGAGATTACTTCAAAAAGGGTACCTCCTTTTCTGGAACCACTGAAGTTCATTATACTTATTGGGCTTGATCTTAAAATAAAATGTTACAATACTACACATGAACACACGTGATTGACTTTCTGCCTTGCGTGTTTTTCAGAGAATAAGACGTCAAAGCAAACCAACAAAATCAGTGGTAAGTATCAACCCAACTTTCAATGTTACTTTTCATAAGAGGAAAGGGATGTGATAGTTGGACTATGTTACTGTCATAAGACGTGTAAAATAAATACCGTAACAAATATTTAGTTTATTTGACAATTCATTTAACCCTCCTGTTGTCTCCGGGTCAAATCTGACCGATTTACTACTTTCATCAATCATAACTTTTTAGGTTTACATTAAATTGCATTAAGGCTCTATGATATCCTTCACAGTATAGACATTTGAACATAGAATTGCTGATCACCACTTCCATTGAATTTTGGATGATTTAGTCCACTTTGTAACACCCATGGTGTTCCCGCTCAAAAATTACCGCCATAATGAAAAGGAATTAATAACCATCCAGATCAGATAAAACACACACACACACACACACACGCACACACACACACACGCACGCGCACGCACACAAACACACACACGCACACACATACTCTAGATGTGTTCCCCCCTTATGTGCCCAATCCCCCCATG